CCCTCTGGGGTATCAGCTACTCCTCCCAGTTTGGTATCATCAGCAAACTTGCTGAGGGAGCACTCTGTGCCTTCATCCAGGTCATTGATGAATAAATTGAACAGGACTGGACCAAGGACTGACCCCTGGGGGACCCCGCTAGCTACAGGCCTCCAACTAGACTCTGCAGAGACCAGGCAGTGTGGAGGAATGTTTGCTGGAAAGCATGATGGACTGTGTGGTGGCCGATGTTCAGGATCTGTTTAAAGTGCAGAGAGGCTGCAGGGAGACATAAACCTGGATAATCTACAGGGCGTGCCATCCAGGCTGTCCCCTGGGCGGTACTGCCTGGCAGGGACAGGTCTCCAGGATTACTAAACTTCTGCAAAGCTTTGCCAAGTCCACATCAAGAAAGACAGTGATGACCTGGGCAGTTCTCCCACTGAAGGAAAGAAAAGCAAATGTCAGAATCTCACTGGACACCCAGAACACATTGGAAATCAGAGCAGCAGCATCCGATGCTGGGGACTGAGGAGATCTCTCCCTCTCCAAGCTCAGGCTACTCTGCTTCATTTACAGCATGGCCCAAGCCCAAGATCCAGCATATTCTGAGACAAAGACCATTTTGAAAGAAGCCTCCCCAGCAGTGACTGCTCTTTCTGAGAACTCCTTTTCAGCTTCAGGTATGCAGCAGGCCCAGGGAGCTGGAGGTCCCTGAGGATGGATATTCCATCTGTTGAGAGTCCTTTGGGAGCACTGCAGTGAAGGACCATGATGTGCAGGCAGCCAAAGCCCAGGAATTTTTTACTGGGAATGGTTTTCCAGTAGAAAATTGGATTTTTTTTTTTTGTCAAAATAAGAGGTTTCCTACCGAGAATTCTGTACATGAATCCTGTTTTCTGTCAGCAAATTATTCTGGTGGAAATTTCCATGCATTTGCAGTTTATATTTGACTGTGCGATTATGTGCATTCAGTTCCTTACGATATTACAGAAGCTGATTCTGTGTTTCTCACCACCTTGCGCCAGATCATTGGATTCTGTGTTCCATCTTTTCCTTTTTCTGATCATTAGAACACCTCCTTGCCCCTTTGTTATTCCTAAACTAGGCTAAGTGCATCCAACCTGGTGGATGTCCAGCTTCCTTGGATGAAGGCAAAGCACTGGTGCCTGGTATAACTGCTCCTACACCCAGGCAACTCGATGATGATCTAACCAATGCAGAACAGCCTGATGATGAACAGGGAAGATCTTCTCAAGTCTCCTCATATGCTGCAGGATGCTGCTGCTCTGACTTCTTCACGTGATGACAGGGACTGGAGAGGTGTGACAGAGGGTAGCAAGAGCTCTCTGAGTCCTAGATATTGTGCTCTTCGGGGAAAGTTGAGCAAACCCAGCAGTGATGCCCACTGCTAGGACAGCTCTGTGCTGGAGCAAGGAGCTGTGCTGCCTAGCAACTGCACAGACCACATCTGAAATGCAGAGCAGGCTCTTCTAAGCCCCTCTTGGTTGTGAAAGCATTTAGGGAGGGTGTGAGACCTGCTTAGAGATTGCAGTCCATCCAACGTGTCCTTTCCACGTACCATCTGCAGGAGAGGGTGAGTCAGGTTGTGAGTCAGAGCCAGAATGTACAATGGCAGCAGCTCTATCCAAATAGCTGCTCAGATGCTTCCACTTTGCTCTCCATCCCATCGTCCTCCCTCAAAGAAATAAAGACTTTGGGTGAGTTAGTCCCCAGGGAGATGCAGGGCCCTTGCCTCCCCGGTGTCCCTGCTGCTCATATAAATGGCACCTCCAAGAGGCTGAGTGCAGACGAGTACGCTCCAGGAGGCCAGGGAGGAGGCACGGGCAGCCCTGTGCTACCTTCCCTCTGCATCATCCCTGACGGTTGTCTGGCCACCACCTGCAGCCCACTGTGCATCTTGCGCTGGGGATTTGCTGCTGTTCTCTGTCCCTGGCCCAGGTCATGTGCTTGTGTTGGTCACGTTGCTGAGAGCCATCAATGCCTGGTTTCCTCTGCCTGCAGCTTATGGGACTCCTCTGGATGGCATCCAGATGCCAGAGCAATAGAAACATGAGGGGTGATGAAGCTGAGCGGGAAGCCCTGACCCAGGCATGCAGATGGAGGGGAGAAATGCAGTACATCTGGAAAGCCTAATTCCAGATTCAACATCCTGCTGCCCCAGCAAACCTACCCAGGCTGTGCTGGAGCCATCCCACAGCAGTGCTCACCATGGAGAGCATGTGTAAAGAAATAGTTCCTCCAGCTAAAACGTGTATAACAGGGACTAGCAGGACTGCCAGATGAGCAATGCGCTACATGCCTCACTTGCAGTTCATAGATGCTTAATCTGGTTTGGATGGGAATAGTCATGCATTAGTGTTCCCCAAGTACCCAGGAATCCTAGGAAAGGATCCACAAAAAAAGCAGTGATCTGTCATTGCTCCTGGGAACTCCAGGCCAGTGTGTTCTGAGGGCTGACTGGCAGACTTTGTTTAACCTTACCTCTTCCATAGCATCATTATTTTCTATTCCACAAATGTTGTCATCAGTAATTGCTTCCAGAGCAATGATAAAAATATTGAGATATCAACCGTGTCTCAAATCTTGCTGTATTTGTAAGAATATTTGCATTTTACTTGAGTTCTTCACTAACAGTTTCTTTTAGAGATCTGCCATAGGCATTCAGTATGTAATTTACTCATTAGCTTAACCATTCCAAAGTCTTGGAGCTATATGCATTACAGGAGTCTGTGCTATGGCCATGCAATTACTGCTATCAGTTACATTTTAACTTTCTCAGAAAAAGAAACTTTAGGTTTTTTGACAGTTCCATGGTGACTGGCATGAATCATGTATTCTTATAATTTACAAAATTCCATATTATTTTTTCCACTACTGGGACTGATGTCTTACACCAAGGCAGATGAAATTTGCAGCTGGGATCAGTGCGGCTCCCTTCAAGTCTCCACCTTTTATGCTGCAGAGGAAATCTGGCTAAGGGAGGAATTACACCATTCACAGGGAATAGGGTACCATGTGAACATCAGCTAGTCCAACTCTTCTGCATCCAGAAGGTGCTAGACATAAAGAGCAGGATCATATT